AGCAGTGTAATATTCCTCCGGTCCGGCGTTCTGAGCTCTTCCGTGTCCAAGTACTGTGATATGCTGCAATGCAAAATAAATACCTCGTAGACGGCTGTACGCTCGAGCCGCCTAGTAAGAGGCCGATGTAGAGGAAGCAGCAAAGGAAGCACGGAAGAGGAAAGGAAGAGTGCCGTAGAGGAATATGAGAGTAATGATAACAGGAAGCAAAACCGACCGACCTCATACCTGTTAACGTGTTACCGTGATGCCCGTAGACCGGCTCCATCAGCGACCAAGGTTACGAAACCGAAACTGGCCAAATAAAAAGACCTGCGGATGCGTTTAAACAACTGGGGTTATGGTCAAATCATAGCAAATATAATGTGTACCTACTATTAATTTATTAACAAATGTCAAACTAAATGCTTTTCGCTACAAGTAATGCATTAATACCTGAACTGGACATTTGTCCAGTTTATGCCCAGTTTGCTAATTTTAGTGTTACGTTTGTGCTACCAGGGGACCGCTGAAGAAGGAACACTCACGGAATAGTTCCATCTGTCGTTCCAGCCCCGATTGAACACACACCTTATTCCATGGCAGGGAGACAAACGAGCGTGGCATGTTGCCCATAGCTAGACCAGCTACTTCCAGTTTTTTAGTAGGACATAGCATGGTAGAAGCTTTTATGTATGCTTGGATAGATGGTATATTTATATTCCTTGGGACCATTTCAAATTTTGACAAATGACACAGACCTTGCACAAAATTATCCAGGCACTTACGGAAGTTGCAGTTGTTATTGCTATGCTTCCTTGTACAATCAGTAAAGGATTCTTTCGCGTCGAAGTACTGTCAGCCCCGTTTTGCTTGACGGTATATGAAATAAGACGCTCGTTAAGAGTAGCAAATTTCGTCCTTGGCATTTGATCTGATTCCACGATGTCGGGTTCACATAAATGTCAGGCGGGTCTTGTTTTGTAGTAAAGCGTGGAACGAATCCCTTAAACCGTTTGCAAGCAACAAAATTAGTTGGGCAAGTTTAATTACTAAACAACTACGCGTGATGCCAGCTGGGTGGTTCGGGTAAATCCCGTTCCAGCAAATGGTTCGGTGGCAGAGTTTCAGGATGTGGTGAAATTTCGCCTGGCAAGCTTTCGCCCTATAACAAACCACGGATACCCGTTTAACAACACTGTGACTTGGCGGATGTGACGTGCCACTAAATAAAGTCACTGTCTCTTAACTTATCCGGAGGAGCATTCACACATCACGGACGTCATCCGATTCGAAGCGTTCCATTGATTTCCCATTTAATAGCGAACCCAACGAAAGGACACACACACCGAGGATCATTTACCTAATCACACAATATGGCTACTTCCAGTTACAGACATAAACATACTTTTACATGCCATCAGACACATATATTCCTATGATATTTGTCAAAATGTACTAATTTGTGCAATTGCCAATCATACATGTGTGTATTACCATGATCACGCACTTGATGGTGTGCCTCGCATTGACGAGAATAAACTGTTTATTTATTTTACTTATAATCGGTCCCAAAAGTTTGTTCATAAGGCACAGGAAGAAAAAGTTTTACTAACACAGGGCTGTATATGAACAAATATGTTACGATATTTGGGAGCAGAAACCCAGCTGACATGCCAAATTTGAACTGCTGTCCTCCCGGCTGACGGACACCCGACGCAGTTTAACGCTCCCTGGTCTGACTTGAAAGCTACTGCCTCCCGATTGTCTACGAATATGAGGTCTGCATCTTTGTTTGTCTATTTTGCTAAGTGGAACTTTTCCACTAACCTAGGTCATAAAGTTAACATTAATGGACACTGCGAACTGCGCTTGAGCAACGCATGTTTTATTCTTGTCATATGCGCCTCTATTTGTGTTCCTTAATCTTTGCCGTCAAGCCTCTTTCCTCAAGGAATACGCAATAATACGTAATAAACGACGGGTAACCATTTAAACGTAATGAGAACCTGCGGTGTTTCGTCGCTGTGTCTTCCTGGGCCGTCTCTTTGGATCTGCCCTCACGCACAGAAGTCGAACGTGAGATCAGATTGTAGAAATTTCAAAAAGCCGTGAGGTAAAATAGAATTCCCCTAGCCCTATTCAAATTCGGGGATGTGCTCATATTGATGATTTACCTGAGTTACTAGTGGATCGTTGGGAGCAGGAAACCGTCGCGAGCGACCGGAACCGCTCCGTCATAGTCCCATTTTTCAGGGGAAGCTCCCTTTCGGAATGCGGCAATCATAGATAAGTCAATTTGATTTGAATTGCCTCTAAATTGCTTGCGTCTGTCAGTCTCCACAGACTGACGCACTCGTGAAAGCCAGATCGGCGAACAACCATTCGGGTTTTGTCGTCGTGGCTGCGTCGACCACATCTTCACCTTGCGTCATGTGTTGGAACGCCGTCATGTTTATTGGCGACCCACCGTTGTCGTGTTTCTTGACCTCAAAGGTGCCTTCGATCCCGTGGATCGGTGTGCTCTTTGGGACTCTGCTGAGGAAAGGTGTGGCAGGTGAATATGCACACATTATCGTAGTGCTGTGCGCTCATAGTTCAGGCAGTGTGAGGGTTTATGGCAAACTGTCGCCGCCCTTCAATATCTCCAGCAGTGAGACAAGTTTGCTCGCTGCCACCTTTCTCCTTATTTTCATCAATAAGGAAGTCATGGATGCTGCGGTCGCTGGACACTATCTACATGATGTGGAGCTACTTCCTGGTGAGCGACTTCTTGACTTCGAGTATGCGGACGATATTGCCCTAATGTGTGACAGCTCCAAAATCTGTCAAGCAGCACTGGACCGATTAGCAATGGCTGTTAATCGTATTGGACTATGCTTTGCTCCATAGGAATGCAAAGTCCTCCAAGATTGGTAGGGACCCACCCATGCGCTGACCCTTGTTGGCGATCAGCTAGAAATCGTTCAGAAACTCAAGTACTTAGTCAGCTATATTAGCGCCCCTTGGATCGATAATGAGGTTACGAACCGTATAGCAAAAGGTCGAGTTACTTCTGCCAATCTCCGCCACCTATGGCGCCGCGGCGACATCACTCTAGTCGTGAAGGGCGGAGTTTACAATGCAGCTGTCCGTTCAGCTCTCTTATACGGTTGTGAAACCTTGCCTATCAGATCGACAGACATAAAACGGCTCGTCACGTTCTGTCATCGCTACCTTTGCAGCTTAGCTCATGTCTGGTGGGAGCACCGCGCAAGCGATGCATGGGTCCAGCGTCGCGTTTTTGGTGCATGAAGAGCGAGTGAACCGTTCAGCACTATCAAATCGCACACCAGGCTCCGATGGTGAGGCCACGTGTAGCGCATGTCAGCACACTGACTCCCTCGACGTGCGTAGTTTGCGCGCGTGGGGTGCGATTGGAAGAGGAGTGGAAGCCATGCGATGACTTGGTCGAGAGAAATGAAGTCTCTCACTTCGAAGTTGGCGTCGGTTGATGTTCCCCGACCGCCTGGCTGGAGTACTAAGAACGATGAACATGTTTAGTGTCATACACTAGCTGATATGGCTAGGAGCCGGCCCCAATGGCGTTTATTGTGAGTTTCTTTGTCCATCCCCCTCTCCTATAGATTCCCCTCCAATTATGGTTTCATTACAACTGCATACTATAATGTCGAACGTTATATTACTTGCTTTTTGAGTTCTTTGTGTTATAATTTTTTACTCTTCTATCTTTTTATATTGCGGCACATTGGCTGAAGTGTGTTTGTCGCCCTCAGCTAACGTGCATTGATGATGATGATGCTCGTTAGTTGAACGAGAATGTCGAAGACGCTGTTAAGCGTAAACATAAACAAGATAACAGGACAAGCATTAGAATGTGAAGTTCACGATTGAGATGAAATGTCATGTCAAATTTTAAGATGACAAGTAAGGACATTTCAACAGGATACTTTGTATTCAGCCATTTCGCATGTCCTCATCAGCCATTTACATACAATCCATTGAGTGGCGAGGTTGTATACAAAGATAACACGGGCGTAATCATTGGTGAATCGATGTAGATCATACCTCATTGGACGCTGGCTGGCATTCATCTTAGAGGAAGGTGGTCACTAGCCCTATCAAAACAAGGTGAGATTGGCGACGAGCTCGGTCTGTTTACATTAAGGAAGATTTCAGTCGCCTAATTGCCGAAGCTTCAGCAAACTGAAACAGGCGGGCGGCGCTCTGCTGGTTGACTTTTGCGCGGGTTTTCACACAAGGGACAGGCATCAATGTGTCCGGCGATCGAACCAGCGCGTAGCTACGGATCATTCGCAACCAGGTTGCGTGGAATATGCTCTAATATCCTTGTAAACCATCTTCATTCAGTTCGGTAGACGTACTTACCGTCGCAAGTACAGTTAAGATGCAATACATAATACATACCTACACATACATAAGATTCGAGAATCTGGATTATCCATGTCGGATTCAAACAGCAACTTCCTAACAGTACAAAAGTGCAAGCGTACTAACACGTTTTATAGATTGACAGTGGTGAATTCGGAATCGGTTGTCATTTTTGTCTCCTTTGTATGGTAGCGTCACGAAGAAATTTTTACTTGGGACATCGATCACCTGTTGATTCCGGCTTTCCGCGTACGCGTTCGAGCGCCGTGTTATGAATTCCTCAGGATATTCATTTTCACGTAGTGTCGAGGGATATGCTGCGTGTCAGCTGTAAGCCGTAACAGCGATTCCCTGCCGCATGACCAACACCAGTCGCGCGCGGGCTGAGAATACTGCGAGGACGCCAACCCATACGCGGATTCAAACCGGACCTACTGACTGCAAGCTAGGCGTGCAGACCACTCGGCACCTTCAGACGCGTTCCAGCTCACACTTTATCTGGCGAGCTCTCGCAGGTGGTAAAAACCAGAGCTGGTTTGTAGTTCAGAGAACAGAAGCTGTTTAAATTCAGGTACTGTCTTGTCCAGATAGGTTACGGTACACAGATCGAATGAGTATACCATTTGGAAAGCGTCGGAGGATTTGTTTTCAACTATGAATTCGTTCGCTGGTTGGCGGTTGTTTAGAGCACACCGTAAGTGTTCTGTTTGTTCGACAGTCTACAAAGACAAATGTCATCCTTGTAGTGGATATGGTAAAACACGTTTTACGTATGAGGACGTAGCTCAGTGTTCTCCAGGTGGCCCATGAAGATATCAGCCACGACAGTCCCAAGTGAGCTACGCATGGCTGCACCATCACTTGATATAAAGCGAATTTGAATCTAAACTGAACACCCTTCGTGCACAAACCTAGCATTGCATGTGAATAACTGACGAGAATACGCAAAATATCAGCATTCAGATTATTTCCTAGAAATGTTATTTGTTATTGATATTCTGTAGATTGAAATGACCGACCTCCAAGGGTCGTCCTACAAAATTAATTAGTCCAGAGAAAATATCGTAAAATAATTGCTGGTACTATTATTAATAATGTATACTTCTTCAAATACAAACAAAAATCAAACGGCGCGTGTCTTTGAAAAGAAAACAAACTTAAAAACTTAGTAGACCGTTTTTAAGATGCAAATCACGCTAAAAATACTCGTAAGATGAGTGCTTGTAAGACAATGCAGATCACTCACTTGGCGTAGCAAATGAGTTTAACCTGCTCACGATCGATAGGGTTTCGCTGAAGCCTGAGAAAGCAGATCCTTCTTGGTTTTCAAGTTAGGGGATCTCTGTACTGAATTTAGGGTGGATAGTGACCTCCCTGCCATTGCCCGAGTAATTTCCAGTTGGATCCTCGAACGACCCGGTTAGTCGAGCAACAAGCGCCTGTAGTAGCCCACACACCATGTTTACGATTTTAGTATCGGACATCTCACGTGCTTCATTCATCAAGTGATTGCATGTGTTCAAAATCTGAAATCGGGTGAAGGTTTCGCATATGTAAGCCAGATTTTGACTGCTCCGGTTTGTTCGGTGGATCTATAGGAACTGCATTATGGAGGAATATCAAATAGGTAACACAAGCTTTCAGCTAAAATGCGTAGCTTATTACATTTTAAAGGAAACACATTGTTCAAGAGTAATTGGAAATGTCAAGCTGGTCCACGGACATCATTGCTATCAGTCACACAAACGATGGACTTGCTTGACTTCGGTCTCACCACACCTTTCACTTTCAATGGCCAAACGTACGAACAGATAACTGGTACGCTAATGGGATCGCCAATCTCTGGACTGGTAGCAAAGGCAGTGGTGCAAGCATTGGAACAAAAGGCACTACCGATAGTGGCGCCCAAACTTTACGTACGTTATCTAGACGATACTTTTGGCATCCTCACGCTCGCAGCTAATCAGTAATAAAGAGGAGGAAAACAGTTACAAGTGCCCATTCTTGGACGTGCTTCTTAGACCCTATTCTGGGTCACTGGAAACATCAGTTTATCGGAAAGCGACGCACACCAATCAGATGTTGAACTATTGCAGTAATCATCTGACCATTTACAAGTGCAGCTGCGTGAGGACGTTTCTCAAACGGGCCCAGACACACTGTAGCACGCTGCAACTGAGGAAGACGGAGGAGGACCACCTATTTAACATGTTTAAGCGAAATACGTACCCTTGAAGCCTTATTGTACGTTGCCTGATGTCGGAGAATCGGCCACAACTTTCGTCCACATGTGCAATAGAAAGGTGAACGATTATGCTACCTTACATCTACAGATTTTCTCAACTGGCAGTGAATACTGAATACTGTATTTTGGAGCAAGTAGAAAATA